CATCTACCGTCGGGGCAGTGGAGGAAATGCTCTGCTGGTGGGTGTCTACGTCGATGACTTAGTGATCACCGGCACCAAGGATGCGGAGGTGGCGGCATTCAAGGAAGAGATGAAGGCCACCTTCTAGATGAGTGACCTGGGGCCTCTCTCCTTCTACCTGGGAATCGAGGTACACCAGGATGACTCCGGGATCACGCTTCGACAGACCACCTACGCCAAGCGCGTCGTTGAGCTAGCTGGGCTCACCGACTGCAACCCAGCTCTCACTCCGATGGAGGAGAGGCTGAAGCTGAGCCGCGACAGCACGACGGAGGTGGACGCTACGCAGTACCGACGTCTTGTGGGGAGCTGTAACGTCCAGTCCCGACATACATGGCCCCGGCCCACTCTTCCTAGGAGTGGTCCGACCCGCGTAGCAACCCGTTTGAACTTTCGTCCTCGCTTCGTTCAAAACGGTTAACCGAAGGTTACTACGTGTTCCTGGCCCTGGTATTTAAGTTGATCTGGCGAATCCTGAGTTTCCAGTACGGTAGTAAACCTGGCTGTACAGTGTTGCGCGGTGATACAGCATCCGTGAACAGTACCCCCGAACTTTGCCGAACAGTGTTCGGTCTACAGTAACCTGAAGTTCGGATGCTGCAGTAGCCGGCCCGTTCTGCTACGGTACCACCGGCCCACAACTGGATTGGATTGGGCCCACTTTGGCCCATTAGGATGTTACAATCATCCCCCCTCCCCGTCGAATGCCAGACCAGCTTACCCTTTCGGGACACTTATTCCAGGATCCGCCTCTCTTCAACACGTTTGTGTGGCCCCGTGCCGGCACATGTGCATGCCATGTCGTGTCCACGACGGGCCCATGCACATGCACACAACATGCCCGCGCAGTTGTCCCCACGTGCCCGTGAAACCTCGAGAGTCAGCACTGATACCAAATGTAACGTCCAGTCCCGACATACATGGCGCCGGCCCACTCTTCCTAGGAGTGGTCCGACCCGCGTAGCAACCCGCTTGAACTTTCGTCCTCGCTTCGTTCAAAACGGTTAACCGAAGGTTACTACGCGTCCCTGGCCCTGGTATTTAAGTTGATCTGGCGAATCCTGAGTTTCCAGTATGGTACTAAACCTGGTTGCACAGTGTTTTTCGCGGTGCTACATTAACCCGTGAACAGTATCCCTGGATTTGGCTGACCCATTTTCGGGTGACCAGTGCTCGGTCTACAGTAACCCCGAAGATCGGATGCTACAGTGCCGGCCCATTCTACTACAGTACCACCGGCCCACAACTGTATTGGATTGGGCCCACTTTGGCCCATTAGGATGTTACAGGAGCCTTCGCTACCTCGCCCACACATGGCCGGACTTGGCATTCTCCGTCGGCTACGTTAGTCGGTTCATGCAGCGACCGACGACGAAGCACCAGCAGGCTGTGAAGAGGATCATCCGCTACGTTGCGGGGACTCTCGACCACGGCCTCTACTTACTACCCTAGGTGCCCTGGGGTGGCACACTTCGCCGTCGGGACAAAGGATGGCGGCGACCACGCCCGGCGACATCGACACCGGCAAAACACGGCGAGCGGGATCTCTTCCTCCTCGGCAAGTGCCTCGTTAGGTGGCAATCGGTCAAGCGGCCAGTGGTGGCCTGCATCCCATGCGAGGCCGAGTACATAGTGGCCTCCACCGCTTCGACTCAGGCGCTCTGGTTCGCTCGACTGCTTGGTGATCTCCTCGGCAAAGACACTAGAGCGGTGGAGCTCAGGATGGACAGCAAGTCTGCTCTGGCCCTGGCAAAGAACCCCGTTTTCCATGAACGGAATAAGCACATCCGGGTGAGGTACCACTTCATCCGAGGTTGTTGGAGGAAGGGAGCATCAAGACGAGCTACATCAACACCAAGGACCAGCTTGCGGACCTGCTTACCAAGCCTCTTGGGAGGATCAAGTTCCTTGAGTTCTGCTCCAGGACCGGGATGGTTCAACTTTCCCACAAGACGACGCACAAGACTTAGGGGGAGAATGATGGGATAAATCTCTGTGTTGGCTGGTCTTTGTGAGGCTGCAGCATAACATCCTTGTGGCTGCATGGTGGCCTTGCTGCCCATCAAGGACAGCATCCTTGACTGGCTAGGACAGCATCTTAGCATCTAGGACAGCATCTTAGCATGTTAGCATCTAGCATCTTGGCATATGCTTGGCTGGCTAGCAGCCTATAAATATGTATCCCCAGCCCCTCAGGTTGGCATGGCATTTGTGTGAGAAATAAACCAGAAAATTGTCCCAACTCCTAATGTCATCCTCTCGATGAGAGTAAGAATTCTGCTACTACCAAAAGTAAGAATTCAGCGACTAACAGATAATCGCTATGAAGTTTTCTTTTCGAGTGTATCAATACTCTGAGTGGTTGTTTGGATCTCTAAAATATAAATATGTTTTAGCTAAATGAGTTTTAAAGAGGTTTTTAGATAAACCAGTTTTGAGTTGGTTAGCGTGAGTCCAATTAAAAATGTGTTTGGATGGTTCCTGGCTACAAACAAACGTGAGTAAACTATGTTTGGTTGGACCGTATTTTCTGGCGTTGGATGCCTCGGCCTCGACGAGATTGTGGATTCGTGGTTATCAAAAATTAGTTTTACTAAAAACGATGCGGTTAATATACAATTTTCTGGTTTTGTGGAAAATGGATTTATCTTATACGGGAGTTGTTGGAAGATCCAAACACAGATTTACGGGTAGTTACAGTAAACCTGGTTCTACGGAAACTAGTTCTCATAAGTCGCCAGATCCAAACAACCACTGAGGTTGTGTCATTCTGTTAGAGCATACCAGTTTGAGCTTTATTGCTGCCTTGCTGGTGACAGATATGACCAAACCAGGTGTAGATACACGGCTACACCCCTTTTGTTTCTTGTAAGACTGTTACTTTTATGCCCACATAAATCAATTGACACTCTAGTTGAATGGTGATAATTGCATGTTCTGAAGCTTTCTTGTACTATCTGAACTCTGAATTCACGACATTGCATAATGCAGTCTGAAGCATGGAATGGATACAGAAAGCCACCATCAGAACAAAAGTACTCTGAGGATGTCGGTCAGATTCACCAAGGACTCAATGTAGAGCCCACCAGGGAGGAGCTGAATAGCTTATCGAAAGCCTGTAGCCGACTTTGGGAGCTCGATATGAACCATCTCGTTCCTGGTAAGGACTACAGAATCGACTGTGGCGAGGGGAAGAAAGTTTATCAGAAGGGTGATATGGCATCTGAAAGCTTGTTCAGCTGGCTAGGCGACGATGTGCTAAGAAAACCCACCTACTCACGTTTCTGTGCACTTCTGGATAACTACAACCCACACCAGGGGTACAAAGAAGTTGTTACCCAGCAGGATAAGCACGAAGAAATAGCTTTCATTGAAGAGATTGCCAGAACAGCACCAATTAAGTACTTACACCGGTACTTAGTGCAGAAGGGGGCTGTAGCTCAGGACTATGAGGACTTCAAGAGAATGCTGACATCCCTATGGTTTGATTTGTATGGAAGAGGTGGCAACTCTAGCTGCTCTTCTGCCTTTGAGCATGTGTTTGTTGGTGAGATCAAGGGACGGGGACAAGGGGAGAATGAGGTATCAGGCTTCCATAACTGGATTCAGGCAAGTTCTCGTAATGTTACAAAAGTCTAGTTTCCTTATTTGGACATTTCTGACAGGTATTGTGACTAATTTGCAGTTTTACTTGGAAGAAGCCAAGGGAAATGTGGATTACCAAGGTTATATATTTCCAAGGCGCCGTGGTGAATCGGTGAGTATATACTATATAGTTAAGCATTGATGCAACGCTGCTGCATACAAATAATGTTAGCTAAATGTTCTACCCTGGTCTTGGCAGCCTGATTCAGAGACACAGCTGCTGACTGTTCAGTTTGAGTGGCATGGTGTGCTGAAATCAGTATCCAGCACGTTGATTGGTGTCAGTCCTGAGTTTGAGGTTGCACTCTACACATTGTGCTTTTTTGTCGGAGGGGAAGATAACCGTGTCGATATTGGCCCATACAGTGTGAACATTAAGTGCTACCGATTGGGGAACAACAAAATTGGATCAGCCTTTCCCATTGCAGAGAACTGATTATTTGGTGCTTTGCTTCTGCAAGTTTGTAAATCTTCACTTTTTTTGGCTTCATAGTCACTTGTATGAAGTTAATATTGTTGTACTGTTCAAGGATAGCTGGTTACTTGTGCATGAAAAGGTACCATACTGTTCAATTTGTATTGCTACTTGCACTACTGAAAAAGCTGATAACTGAGACTAAAATTACTTTTCATGGTTTTGTTGCTGTGTATGTGGAAGCTTTGCGCTGAATATTTTCTGGCTTTGTCAAGTTTATGTACTGCTTTGCTGTTTCTTGATGAAAATTCAGTACGGTCTGCACAGAGACAGGTGAGCATAAGAATGCATGGTTTATATAGGAAAATGAGCATTATGTTTTATCTTCAGCGTGTTACGTATTAAAAGGTGCAAAGCCATACTTATTCCACAGCAAAAAAAGAAAAGAAAAAGAAAAAAAAGAAAGGAGTTATCAATATTTTTTCCAAGTTTGCAAACAGAATCTATGGATCCACAAACCGGAGACTGCCATTCTGTCAAACGTTTGACTCAATTGCTTAGTCAGACTTTTAGAGCAGAAATTCAAAGGCATAAAGGTGGCGTAGCGTATTTTAGTAGAACAAGAAAGCACATTTTTTTCTATTCAAACATTGCAACTTCCGCATCGTATATTATTAGGTTGAGATTTGAGAAGAAAACGGCAGGACTGCATTTCACACCTTCCATTTTTTCCGTCATCTTTTGCTAGTGCCTACTCAAACACTGACCCATCAGATCAGGCAATGGAAAAAATCAATGTCAACCTTCTAATCCGCACACAACAACAGAGAAAGGATATTTCAGAAGTCACAGGTTCAGACTGTACATGAATGAAGTCAATGGCATCAACAACGGCAGGAGATCACGTCGGAACAGCGGCGGCAGTGGCAGCAGTCCTCATGAGCATGAGCCGCCGCCTCGCATGAGCGTCAGCAGCACCCCCTAGAGCGGCCAGACGAAGCATCCGTCTCTTCCTCGCCTCCGCTGCCACCGCCACGGCACTGGCATCCTCTGCGCCCGGCGCCCCCGGCGCCTCCTCCTGAGGAGGCGAGCCCTGGCACTCCGCCGCGGCACCCACGACGACAACGCCGTCCATCTCCGTGTGCCGCATCGCCTGCCTCAGCCCCTCGACCACGTCCCTCATCGTGGGGCGGTCCCTGGCGTGCTTCGCGAGGCAGCCGTTGGCGAGCCTGGCCACCTCCGTGGCGCCTCGCATAGGGTACCGCCCCTGGAGCCTCGCGTCCATGATCGCCCCGAACTGCTCGCTCTCGGGCGGGTGCCGCCGCACCCACTCCAGGAGCTTCTGCTCGTTCCTGGGCCGGTTGCGTTCGATGGAGCGCCGCGCGGTGAGGATCTCGTACAGCACCACGCCGAAGCTCCAGACGTCGCTCTTGGTGGTGAGGTGCCCAGTCTGCACGTAGTCCGGCGCTGCGTAACCGAAGGTGCCCATGACCTGATTGATGATCGCGTAATGGAGCATGCAAAAGTTTTCAGAAATCAGAATGCACATATGCGACACTTGTCGTTTTGGTGAAAGTACGCAGCATTTCACATACCGCTGTGGACACGTGAGTCTGGCCTTCTGATGGCCCCTCCCTTGCCAACCCAAAGTCTGATAGCTTGGGTCTGAACTCCTCGTCCAGCAGTACGTTGGACGCTTTGAAATCCCGGTATATGATCTATCCAAATCAGAAAAACTATCGTCATGTTTACTGAACAAACATTCTTCTATCTAGTATATAGTACATAAATCACGAACCGTGCCATGTTCTGACGAAACGTGGAAAGGAATATTGCTACCTGAAGTTCCAGGCCCTCGTGGAGATACAGCAATCCCTCGGCAGCGCCCAGTGCGATCTGCAGCCTGACATCCCATGGAAGCACAGGGTACGCCCGGTTGAACAAGTGGTCGTCCAGCGTCTTGTTGGGCATGAACTCGTACACCAGCAGCCGCTGCGGGCCTCGGTCCGTCTGCGAGGCGCAGTACCCGATGAGCTTGACGAGGTTCCGGTGCTCGACGACGCCCAGGAAATGGACCTCGGCGAGCCACTCCTTGTGGCCCTGGTGGACGGCATCAAGAACGGAGTCGGAATGAGCACACTACATCCATTGCGATCTCGCGAGCGTGGATGCGGGCCATGATGTACGTACGCAACGTACCTGACGTCCGTTGGGGTTGAGCCTCTTGACGGCGACCGGCGTGTCGCCGGGGCCGCCTCCGGGGAGCCGGAGGACGCCCCTGTAGACGCCCCCGAAGCCGCCCTCGCCGACCATGAGCAGCGGGCTGAAGTCGCGCGTCGCGACGCGGAGCTCCCGGAGGCCGAACTCCCGCAGGGCGCCCCTCTCCTCGTACAGCTCCGGGATGCTCCGCGCCGACGAAGCGGAGCCCGAGCCGGAGGACCCGCTCCCCGCCGGCCTCGCGCCCGAAGCCTCCGAGACGCTCGCCGACGGCGACGCAAACGAGGCCCAGCTGGCGGCTGCCGCGGACGCGAGCGACCGCGCCTCAGTGGAGACGGCAGAGGAGAGTGCGGCAGGCGCCGGCGCGGGGGCCGTCGCCTCCGGCCGCCTCTTGCAGCTCCTGGACCTGCCGTGGAAGAGGCGGAGGCAGCCCATTTCTGTGACGGGTAAGCTGGCGCAAAAAAATTCTGCTTGTGCCTTGTAGTACGTGTTTCTTGCGCGCTATCTACTGCTACCGCAGCTGTCACTCCTCAATCAAGAACTCTGATTACAAAGGGAAAGGCCAAGATTTGGTGACGAAAACGGAGGATTTATTTCGTTTTCTTCGCTCTATGTTGGCTCCAAAAGACTAGAAACAAGCAACGCCCGAGAAGAAAACTTCAACCGGGGTATAAATATAAATATCTGACAGATGGAGGACAGCATTCGACTGAAGAACGCATACGAAGGGGGGGGGAGAGAACCTTCATGCATGAAATGCGTCCATGTGGCTGCACCTCGCGATCACTTGCTCGCACACATCAACACACTCGTGGTTCCCTGTCCTGGCGACAGACACACGACGGGAGGCTTAAAATTTGCCGAGTGAGAAGCGGAGGGAGGCCAGCAACTTTTGATTCCTCCTAAAATCCGAGACCCTCGGTATAGAGATGAAATGAAATGTCACGCGGTTTCAAGCCATCGCTACCATGCCATGCTTTGAAATGTTCAGATATTGCGGCGGTACAGTACAGTCACCTTGTTTGCTGTTGGGTCTTCAAATTCGGTAGGGCCGGGTCACTCACTCGTGCCACAAGCGGGTAGCCACTTCTCTGCCTCCTTCAGGGACCCAACCCAATTGTCAATTGATTAACCCAGTCACACTCCACAAACATTATGAACTCCTCCTCACTGCAACTGGCCTGTCATGGGACATGACTCATGAGACTTGGAACCTGGTGGTGACCTCAAGCATCCGTAGTGCAAAGTTTATTTATACACCTAGAGGTTGTAACGATGTGGTGCATGGACTTGCGGCGAAAGGATTCAAGAGCTGGTCCTAGTACTAATGACATGTCTGACAGTATCCCGAGTTGTATGGTGCACTTGGTAGCAAATGATGAATTTGGTTTCTGTTTCCTGTTAATGGAACGCGAATTTCTTATTAGAAAAAAACTCCTCTTGCTTCTTTTCTGTTTTGAGACTTGCACCGTAGTACGTTTTAATGTTTTTTGTAGAAATGAAGAAGAAGAAAGCGTGCCGCCGGCCGCCGCTGGCATCAAGACACGAAGTAGATGCTGACCATTGACGAGTGCGCGTCAACACGCTGACCTAGACCTGTCGCATTCGAAGACATGCTTGGTGAGCTGTCCGTGGCGGACTTTGGTGTCACTATGTTGACCCTGGAAGGCACGGACACCGTCTAGCGTAAGATGATCTAAAAGCATCACCAATGATCCTCTTATATATACTTAGGATCTATTTAAAACAGCTCCCCAACATATTTTTCAGTTAAAATAGGTGTGGCTCCACAAATTTAGGTGACTTTTCCCTGTGTGCCATTATAAAAGATCGCAATCCCCTGTGTGTCCCTGGAAAAATTCAGCGGTCTTCAGCGCCACTACTTCAACTTTTTCGGGTCCTCCATGCCACTTCCGTCAGTTCAGGCTCTAACGCCGTTAAAGTGCAGGTGTGAAAAGACGAAAATGCCCTTAAGTTCAAATATGTTATTAATTTTTTTTGAGCATCTTAACGACTTCAAATGAAAAAACTCAAAACTAGAAAGTTGTAGATCTCGTTGAGATCTATAATTTTCATATAAAAATTATTTTCATTTAATTCCGCAAAAAAATATGATGATTTTTCTAAGATATATTAATCATATCAAATCATATTTTTTTTGCGGAATTAAATGAAAATAATTTTTATATGAAAATTATAGATCTCAACGAGATCTACAACTTTCTAGTTTTGAGTTTTTTCATTTGAAGTCGTTAAGATGCTCAAAAAAAATTAATAACATATTTGAACTTAAGGGCATTTTCGTCTTTTCACACCTGTAGTTTGACGGCGTTAGAGCCTGAACTGACGGAAGTGGCATGGAGGACCCGAAAAAGTTGAAGTAGTGGCGCTGAAGACCGCTGAATTTTTCCAGGGGCACAGAAGGGATTAGGATCTTTTATAATGGCACACAGGGAAAAGTCTCCAAATTTAGCTCTAGTAAAAAATATGAAGCTGTAAGAGCACTTAAAGGAGTGCTCCACAAACTCTAGGATTTTACGGAGCTGCTCTACGGTAGAGTTTGTAGAGCAATCCTAAACAAACCCTTAATCCGTTTATCTCCTGTATATGGTCATCATAACAAAAGAAATCCTATAAATATATCTCTCCTTAAACAGTTCTCCTATTTCAAACTTGACAGCACGTGTCATTAGGTACATGAACTCCTAAAATGCACATTGCTGCATCGTAGGTCCAAATAGACCTTGGCCAGACCTAATTGCCCACAGGCAGCCCACGATGTCACCCGCCTCATCCATGCGCTCACCCCGTGGCGTGCCCCCCTTCCGCCGCCGCGCCAATCGCGCCTTGTCTGGGCGGACCGCGCCGCTCGTCAACTTCGTGAGGGTCTGGAGATAAGTCTGGATGTTGCCGATGAGCATGGACATGACGATGAGAACGAAGAGAGAGCAGGCTGTTCTTGGTGAGTGGTGTCCAGCACAGCGGTGCCCTTGGACGGTGCAGGAACTTCCAGATCATCACCTGCGGAAGCGGGAGCACGGACATGAGATCGGCGGAGAAGAAACGGCGCATGTAGCGCCGCGCGATGATGAGCGCGGTGTCGATCACGAGCTCGCCACGCCCGAACACCCTGGAGGACAACTTGATGTAGGCGGTGCGGAACTGCAGCGCGATGTGGCTCAGGAAGAAGAGGTCCGCCAAGCTGCGCACGGTGGTGGTGGAGATGGGGTACTTAGTGCAGAAGGGGGCTGTACCTCAGGACTATGAGGATTTCAAGAGAATGCTGACATCCCTATGGTTTGATTTGTATGGAAGAGGTGGCAACTCTAGCTGCTCTTCTGCCTTTGAGCATGTGTTTGTTGGTGAGATCAAGGGACCGGGACAAGGGGAGAATGAGGTATCAGGCTTCCATAACTGGATTCAGGCAAGTTCTCGTAATGTTACAAAAGTCTAGTTTCCTTATTTGGACATTTCTAACAGGTATTGTGACTAATTTGCAGTTTTACCTGGAAGAAGCCAAGGGAAATGTGGATTACCAAGGTTATATATTTCCAAGGCGCCGTGGTGAATCGGTGAGTATATACTATATAGTTAAGCATTGATGCAACGCTGCTGCATACAAATAATGTTAGCTAAATGTTCTACCCTGGTCTTGGCAGCCTGATTCAGAGACACAGCTGCTGACTGTTCAGTTTGAGTGGCCTGGTGTGCTGAAATCAGTATCCAGCACGTTGATTGGTGTCAGTCCTGAGTTTGAGGTTGCACTCTACACATTGTGCTTTTTTGTCGGAGGGGAAGATAACCGTGTCGATATTGGCCCATACAGTGTGAACATTAAGTGCTACCGATTGGGGAACAACAAAATTGGATCAGCCTTTCCCATTGCAGAGAATTGATTATTTGGTGCTTTGCTTCTGCAAGTTTGTAAATCTTCACTTTTTTTTGGTTTCATAGTCACTTATATGAAGTTAATATTGTTGTACTGTTCAAGGATAGCTGGTTACTTGTGCATGAAAAGGTACCATACTGTTCAATTTGTATTGCTACTTGCACTACTGAAAAAGCTGATAACTGAGACTAAAATTACTTTTCATGGTTTTGTTGCTGTGTATGTGGAAGCTTTGCGCTGAATATTTTCTGGCTTTGTCAAGTTTATGTACTGCTTTGCTGTTTCTTGATGAAAATTCAGTACGGTCTGCACAGAGACAGGTGAGCATAAGAATGCATGGTTTATATAGGAAAATGAGCATTATGTTTTATCTTCAGCGTGTTACGTATTAAAAGGTGCAAAGCCATACTTATTCCACAGTAAAAAGAAAAATTAAAAAAAAAGAAAGGAGTTATCAATATTTTTTCCAAGTTTACAAACAGAATCTATGGATCCACAAACCGGAGACTGCCATTCTGTCAAACGTTTGACTCAATTGCTTCGTCAGACTTTTAGAGCAGAAATTCAAAGGCAGAAAGGTGGCGTCGCGTATTTCAGTAGAACAAGAAAGCACATTTTTTTCTATTCAAACATTGCAACTTCCGCATCGTATATTATTAGGTTGAGATTTGAGAAGAAAACGGCAGGACTGCATTTCACACCTTCCATTTTTTCCGTCATCTTTTGCTAGTGCCTACTCAAACACTGACCCATCAGATCAGGCAATGGAAAAAATCAATGTCAACCTTCTAATCCGCACACAACAACAGAGAAAGGATATTTCAGAAGTCACAGGTTCAGACTGTACATGAATGAAGTCAATGGCATCAACAACGGCAGGAGATCACGTCGGAACAGCGGCGGCAGTGGCAGCAGCCCTCATGAGCATGAGCCGCCGCCTCGCATGAGCGTCAGCAGCACCCCCTAGAGCGGCCAGACGAAGCATCCGTCTCTTCCTCGCCTCCGCTGCCACCGCCACGGCACTGGCATCCTCTGCGCCCGGCGCCCCCGGCGCCTCCTCCTGAGGAGGCGAGCCCTGGCACTCCGCCGCGGCACCCACGACGACAACGCCGTCCATCTCCGTGTGCCGCATCGCCTGCCTCAGCCCCTCGACCACGTCCCTCATCGTGGGGCGGTCCCTGGCGTGCTTCGCGAGGCAGCCGTTGGCGAGCCTGGCCACCTCCGTGGCGCCTCGCATAGGGTACCGCCCCTGGAGCCTCGCGTCCATGATCGCCCCGAACTGCTCGCTCTCGGGCGGGTGCCGCCGCACCCACTCCAGGAGCTTCTGCTCGTTCCTGGGCCGGTTGCGTTCGATGGAGCGCCGCGCGGTGAGGATCTCGTACAGCACCACGCCGAAGCTCCAGACGTCGCTCTTGGTGGTGAGGTGCCCAGTCTGCACGTAGTCCGGCGCTGCGTAACCGAAGGTGCCCATGACCTGATTGATGATCGCGTAATGGAGCGCAGCTTGGCGTAATGGAGCGCAGCACGGACTAGGAAGAAGAGGTCCGCCAAGCCAGCGCCGTCGTGACGCACGATGATAAGACCAGCTGCATCTACAGATACTTTACCTAGTAGTGTCATATCGCCACTCTACATATACGTATACACGATCTTTTGCACAAGGACTAGCTAGTGCACTGCTACACAGGACTAGCTAGTGCGCAGCCGCCGACCCTGCCAGTTCCTGCAGCAGTCGAGGTCAGAGACCCCGAGGCCGCCCGGCGCATGATCATCGACCACGCCGACTCCTTCACCGAACAGCCCGCCGTGCCCTTCCCCGTGGACCTCGACGTTGGGCACCCCAAGACCACCAACATCAACACCGCGCCCTACGGCCCGCTCTGGTGCGTGCTCCAGTGCAACCTCACCGCCGGCGTCCTCCACCCCTCGCACCTCGCCCGCCTCGCGCCGCTCCAGCGCGACGCAGTCCGAGGACCTCGTCGTGGGCCTGCTCACCGCCGCTCGGGGCGACCGAGAAGGAGCGGATAACGGCGAGGCGGTCCGCGGTCATCACCGTCCGCGACGCCCCGTATGTTGCCGTGTTCAGGGTGGTGGCGTGCATGTGCTTCGGCGACGATGGCGTCGGCGAGCGTGACGTTCGCGCCTACAGCGCACGCTGAGCGAGTTCTTCCACTTCGGCGTGGACGCCAGGCGCCTGGCCACCACGAGGCTGGCGAGGCTACTGCACTAGAGGCAGTGGCGATACCTGGTCGGCACGCACGGCCGCCTGGCCGAGGTCTTCGTCCCTGCCATCGCAGCGCGGCGGCAGGTCCGACGTAGCAACGCCGGCCGTAGCTGCGGCGATGTCCACGATGCAGGATATGAGGAAGGCGTGGTTGGGGCGCACAAGCACCGGGTCCTGCGGGTCGAAGATGCGCCGGGAGGTGTTCTTGAGGTCCACCCTGAACACGGCTGCCATGGTGGCGCCGCCCCGGAGCGACCGCCCGTGGCGAGGCAGGGCACGACATAGGCGAGCGGCGTGGTCAGCATTACTGTTCATGTTCTGCTAGAACGGTATTTTTCTCTCACAATAATCAGTCGGAACAGTATTTTTCAGTCCTGCCGAACACGCCCATAGACAAGGGCGATTCGGGCGGCGGCGGTCGAGGCGAGCGCGGAGCGCAAGGACCAGGCGGGTGACAGCATGGGCTGCCACGTGGGCAATTAGGTCTGGCCAAAGCCATTTGGACCTCTGCTGCAGCATGGGCCAAGTTTCTGAAGCTAGATGTGTATTTTAGAAGTTCATAGATCTTTTTAGTTAAACAGGTGAAATTTCACAGACTTTGTTCCATGATTTGTTTTTCAACAAAACGTATATTTTATTTTAGAAATAGAATAAAAATACATTTTCTTAATTTAACCGGGATTTTAACAATATAATTTTCACACAATAAAATTCATGCATTCAGCATGAATGAAACAATCATATTAACTTTAAAATTTCTGAAGTTCGAGAAAATCATATTTTCCACTGTTTAAGTTACAACAACATAATTAAATCTTAGAAAATTTAGAAAACCATTTATTTTATTTAGTATCTTCTATTCACAACAAAAATGAAAATTTTAGGGTGTGACATAATAGTATATTGGCTAATAGCTCATATCTAATATTAACTAGCAAATTTTTACTTATCTATTAGCGGGAGGGTGTTTAGATGCACTACTATTAGCTAGCTAACAATTATTAACAGGTATATGTTATTTCTCCACCTAGCTGTTATTGCCTTCGCTTGTCTTGTAATCCGTACTTTTCAGTTTGTTTTTTTAGTCGGAACAGAGTTTTTCTCTCACAACAAATTAGACAGAACAGTGTTTTGACTTGTTTTTTCAGTGAAGCGAACGGGGCCATTATCTGATTTGGTCCAACTAGTGAGATGGTTGTTATCTAGGGATCTAGCTAACAATTAGCTAATCTATTATCTATACTGTTTGAATCATAAAAAGATAATTATTATTAGCAGATAACTACTATGTACAGGGATCAAACAGGGACTAGATACATTACTTTTATTATGCATTTAGACATAGTGTATACCTAAGTATATAGCTAAAGCTACAAGTCTGAAAAATCTAAAATGTCTTGTAGTTTGAAATAGAGAGAACTTGTCCCAGAAAAAATACAATTCTAGCACATTGTCACGTTTTAGTACCTTAAGTTTGACTAATTATAGATAATAAAGTATCAATGTTTATAATATCAAATAAATACCATTAGATTAATTATAAAATATATTTTTATAATAAATTAATTTAAAGTCATAAATATGAATATAATTAACTAAAAATTTGAGCAAACATGAATAATTTTCGTGGCACGTAATCCGTTGTATTCTTTTTGAACGGAGGCGGTACTCCCTCCATCCCTCAATACGTTTTGCGATTCAAAAAATGAATCCGGAAAGAAAGACGTTTTAGCTTGTACGGCGGGTCCCATCCTATGGTATATTACACTAGCAGTCCATCCTTTGTCTCCCTGTCGGACACTATTCTCTTCTCTGTCTATGACTAAAATATACGGATTGTCAATATTTATTTGACAGGACCAAAACATTTATGTGATTCATATTCGGCAGGTAAATAATCACCGCATCTCATGCGATCCATATCCGGTAGGTAAATAATCACCGCATGGAAACACTAGAAGGCAAGTAAATAATGTCCATCTCTATCTCTACAACTAAAACATACGGATTGTCAACATCTACCCGGCAGGACCAAAACACTCATACAATCCATATCCGATAGGCAAATAATCACAGCATCTAATGCGATCCATATCCGGCAGGCAAATAATCACCGCATGAAGACACTGGAAGGTAAGTAAATAAAATGGAATAAAACTCACGGAATCACCGGCTGGCAAATAATCACCGCATGGAGACACTGGAAGGCAAGTAAATAAAATAGAATAAAACGGATTGAGAATTATGGGAAGAGAAAGGAATTTATTGGAATATCACCACGCAATGATCATGATCGTGATCCAAATCTTGTTCGTCGTCCTTCGCGTTGCGTGTTGTAAACAAATACTTTTTTCCCAAAAAATGAATTATTACCATGCTTTATGCGGGCTAGGATATTGTAAGTCTGAGTATACATGTTTTGGCAGGACAGAGCATGGATAAATTCAATTCGATGCCTAGCAATAAATTTTTAGTCTTTGAGGCAACTGATGTTTATCGTAACTTTCAGACAACAAGCTCCAAGCCTAACTTTTATTTCAGATTCATTACGATAATAAATGTGTTTCTAGACATTATCATGGTATAATACACGTAAAAAATTGAATTGATATATTCTTGATTTTAACTTAGCTAATAAATATCCCATTCAATTTATGTTGCACCCGTTACAATGCACGGGCACTCATCTAGTTGAAATAAAAAAAATGGGAAAACATGGTGGGAGCCTGGGAGGAGCCTTTCCCTTCCCTCCGTCTCTGGCGTGGTCCTCGCGGGTTCTCCCTGTCCGAGAGTGGGCGGCGCCGGTGGCCACCCTCCAGAAACCTCGCGGTCCAAGAGGACGACGCACAGCGCAGTGGGAGTGGATCTGGGCGGAGCTCCAGCGTGGCAGCTAGGCGCGGAGGCGGGGTCCATCTCTCTGACGACCGACGATTTGCGCCTCGCAACCTTCACCGGCGCATGGCGGGGAGGAGGCGTGCTTGCCCGGGCCTCTAGGCGCGGAGGTCGCGACACGATCGGGACGCCCGCGGGCGGGTGCAGCCCGCGTGCCGGCGGGGAGGAGGCGTGCTTGCCCGGGCCTCCAGGCGCGGAGGTCGCGACACGGTCGGGATGCCCACGGGCAGGTGTGGCCCGCACACCGTTGGGGAGGAGGCACGCTTGCCCGGGCCTCCAGGCATGGAGGTCACGACGTGGGCCCGTTCGCGTGTCCTTAAACCCGACTGGATCCGCTTCTTTTTTAATCTGAAACAGTGTTTTTCTCTCATAAATTCCTCCAGAATTCCTCCAAATCATCCAAATTTCTCCAGAACCATACCATCCGAACGGGGCCGTGATCAGACGGCCTAGGGCGGGTGCGTCCCGCACGCCGGCGGGGAGGAGCTGGCGCGCTTGTCTGGGCCCTTAGATTTATCACTCTTGAAAATAATACAATAAAACTGGCCATTAGGATTGGCCTAAGATTAATTGAGTTCGATCGACCAATGAGAACCAGAGAATCTTTGAGGCATCTGCATTTTTTTACTAAACGTTAGAGCATAGAGGTGCGAAGCCAAAATCGCAGCCACCGGAGCAAAAACTAACATCGCAGCTAGGCAATAAAAAACTAACCCTTGGATTTATCACTCTTGAAAATAATACAATAAAATTAGCCATTAGGAATGGCCTAAAGATTAGGGCCTGTTTGAACGCAACCAACTAAAGTTTAGCTAGCTAAAATTTTAAAGTAAAACTTTAGCCAGCTAAAAGTTTCTCAACTTAAACTTTAGCTAGGATGTTTGAATGCTTCAGCTAATAGACTCAGCTAAATTTTAGCTAGGTTGAAATAGCTAAGTTTAGTTAAACCTTAGCTGATCTTTTAGCTAGGTTGTTTGAATACCTAGCAACTAAATTTAGTCGGCTAAAGTTTAGCTGGTGTATCAAACGTGCCATTAATTACCCTGTTTAGCTATCTCAAGCTAGTGGGCTGAAAAAAATGTCGTGTCTCTGTCACCTAGTTTACAGTGTAACCTAAATTTCTGAAACTTCATCTAGTTTAAATTGTAACCTAAATTTCTGAAACCTCGTCTCAAAGTAACACAGTTTTTTTTTTTTGCTATTTGTCGTGGCGCCACATATGTTCTGGACTTTAACGGGGTATTAAATAATCGTCTTGTTCGCTTGAACTTATTTAGGACTACTTTTCAGTTATAGAATACTATTTTCCTCTTAGAATATTTCAGCATAAGCATCAACATAAGTCAAATTTCAGCATAAGCGAACATGCTCAATATACAAAACAATAAGTCTATTTCCATAAACATTTAAATGCTGTAGATATCGCTTGATATATGCAAATCTAGTAAAATCTGGTAAGATGCACCAGCTAAACTTTAGCTGTTATGCATCTAAATAGCCCAGCTAAAAGATCGGCTAAAGTTTAGCTGTGATTAGCTATTTTAACCCAGCTAAAGCTAACTAAAATTTAGCTGAGTTTATTAGCTGGGGCATCTAAACACCATAGCTAAAGTTTAGCTAGAAAACTTTTAACTTGCTAAAGTTTTACTTTAAAATTTTAGCTAGCTAAATTTTAGTTGGGTGCATCGAAACCGGTCAACTGGGATTGGATGCCCGTGGACTATTCTTCCTTAGAGAATGAGCGGATGCCGTCCCTCGTGAGATGCCGGCTACCCTCTCTCTCTCCAAAAAATATATCAGGGCACCTCTAGTTTATCGTGTAACCTAATTTCCTAAAATTACTACACGGATTCATTTGCTATCTGTATATTTCTTCCACCACAGATGTGCTCAAATTCAATGTGGTATTAAATAATATATACTAAACAATACGTCTATTTCTATAAACATTTAAATGCTACAGATATAGCTTGATCAATGACAGATACAGTAAAATCTTCTTAGATAACAACTGTGATAAATGGGTTGGATGCACGCTAGCTGGAATTTACCTGTCTACAACACACATATCACTGCTCAATAAAAAAAAACAGCCTTCCAAACCAATGACAAGTGGAACCGGATTAGTAGGTGGCGCCATCGGTTAAATTCCAGCTCACTACTAGTATATGGTAGACAGCCTATAAATCTACCACCAACCCCACTCCCTACTACTCACACCTTGCAATTTTGTGGTTCTTCAGGTTTTCAAGCGCTCCTGGCGCACCTTAAAGGAAACCTACATGCTCCCTCCCTGGCCATCGACTTGTCATTCGACAATCCTTATCCCATCTCCATACTCCATCACCACTCCCTTGTCGTAGCCTGCTTTCCATATCTTCATCGCAACAGCTAGGACTAGCTACCTCAGAGTCCTCCCACAATCCAAATAGCCAACTATAGGATGGACGCGAGGAAGAAGCCACAATTGATCGTTCCACGGGCCCAGAAGATCAATACGGAGAGAAGATCTGAGGCTCCGCGCGACAGCAAAGCCAAGGGATCGAGCGCTATGGGATCTGGGCAAAACACCGCCCAGAGAATCAGCGGCGACAACCACATGAGGGTGAAAAAGCTTGTGGATAAGGTGAAGATGTCAACGTCAGAGCCGGTGGAGGTCTTGTCAAAGAAAAAGCAAGTCCAGGTCATAGACATCATTTCAAGTGACGATGACGATGAGGAGGAGGAGGAAGAGAAGGAGTTGGAGGGAGAAGAAGAAGAGGATGAGGAGGAAAGCAGAGACGGCGACGAGCACGCCATCGTAAGGGTAAGGAAATTTGAGGGATGTTGCATGCTAGCTGCGGTGGATAGGAGCAATGACCATGGAGTTGCAAGCCGAACACGGCGACACAAAGCCCTGCGACGCAAGAACTCACAATTCGAGGACAACAATGATTCCAAAGGGACATTCAGTGAACCGATAGATGTGTAGTTGGGTGAATGTACTTATTACCCTATTAACTAGTTGGAGTCCCAGCGCGTTGCCGCAGAAATCGTAGAATGATTTAAGACGATTAGTATTTGAAGGGTTGAGATGATAAAGTTCGTGAGTGGAATGATTGCTAAAGTCACGTTGGAATGCCGAAATCCAATAGGAGTTGAATGACATCTCTGTTGATTCTATGACTATGAACATCGTTATGTTTCTAGTATTTGATTGTACATGGAGAGAATGACCTGCACGAAGAAACAATGTGCATCTGCATTGCATCTAATTGGAGATGGCAATAAGAAATTAATAAAATCTTGACCAATACCGTCAACCAAGGTCCAGAAATAGAAAGTATTGAAGATCACCCAATGTAAAACTCGCTTTAGGGGCTATAGCAGGTACACCTTACAGGCATGGTCCATGGCTGCTGCTTCCCTTTGTCCAGGCTATTTTCTTGTTCCTAATCTTTTGCAAACCAACTAATAGATTATCTTCAAAGTGTGCAAAGGAGATATGTCAGTAGCGAAACTGGCCGTGGCCATGCAATAAGATGTGAGGGTACCATGGCAGAAGCTGAGAGAGCTGGGATTTAGCGACGGACGATGGTAACGATCATGGTGAGCAAAGGTTGGTTCTGAAGGGCAACGGAGGACCCAAGATCGATGCCTCAAGGGAATCATCATGTCGAAAAGTGCTTCTGCTATACTGGTTAACAATGGAGGTTGGGTGTAGAAGCTTCCACGGATGAGGATTGGCAAGGTGGATTTAAAGTGGCAGCTTCCGCGTGCTAAGGGCGTTCGCAATGGCTGCAACAAATGGCTAGCCACATGCACATAAGATAGAATAAAAAAAATAGAAGCACAAGCATGCAAAACATACGAAGAGGAGAGAGGCACCGATTTTATGGGGAAACGTTGAGTATGGCGATTTGCTAGAGTTCACTTCTGGCCATCTCTCTCCTAAATATAGTATAAAAAAATCATCTCACTAGCTATCTGAGATGCTGTCGGGGACGCAACGGTGCTAGGTACTTAGTTAGTTTATGTGAAGGTGAGAGACAAAAGTAAAAACTATTTTGTATATTTTTATTTTTCTATGAACAATTGGATCCATATATTTCTCTCTTAGATTATTGGACCACGTGAAATAGATCAGTTATTTGTTTGTCGCTATTGACTACTCTATCTCATACTTTTTGTATAGCTAGCTAAATAGCTGGATGTTGGGAACGTCCTAATAAAATGGAGCAGGAAGTAGTGGTGGCATTAAAAAAGGTATCTTGATTGCCCTTTGGTGGCCGCTGTTTTAACTGCACTACAGGAAGTTGCGCCTGGAAGACAGTGGAGGTGAGATGTGAGTAGAGGTTTCAGATTTGAGAACGGAGAGGCTGTTCACTTTCTTGCTTTGATTGAGTGCTTGTTGACCTCATTGATTCCTTCCTGGAAGATGAAACTGGGTGGCTACTGCTTGTTGGCCTCATTGATTACTGACAGATGGAACAGTGGGTAGAGGCTAAAAAGGAGGTGGTGGAAATTGCACGAAGAGAGCATGCAGTGCTAGCTAACGGGAAGGTTTGGACGGATAGATGTCGTTAAATAGAGGTGATCCAAGGGCTTAGAATTCAAATGACGTGGCTCGCGTTGGTTGCAGATCTATAGCAATCAATGATTGCTAGTGGCCTTAATCTATATAGGTTATATAGATATAATATATCCTCGGACCCAACATCCTCCGAGACCCAGAAAAGTATTTTGCATTGGAGTTAATCTCCCTTTAATAAGGTCATGGTGTAGTTCTTGCACAGGGGCGGATCCAGCAGTGGGGGGGCTCAAGCCCCCCTACCCATATCGAATCAGTGTAAATTACTGTAGGAGCCCCTATAAATTTTTAGACAAAGTTCTATAGTGTAGGGGGCTGAGACTTAAGATCGAGCAGCAGTGTTGTTCAGCCCCCTCTAAAATATTTCCTGGATCCGCCGCTGTTCTTGCATGTTGTGGTTGATGGCAAAGTAAGCCCATAAAATCCATGCGATCTCATGTCTTTCTTCATGTTAACTTGTTGTATTAGTCTTGGTCTGTGTTGCAATCAACTTTGAATTTGAACCAAGGATTATGGTTTAGGCATATTGTTGCTTTATTATTTTCCATCCAAATATGTTTGATACACCTCTATGGATATCCAGCTCTCATGTGCGATGCATAACTCCTATTTTTTCTAATTGCTAATTTGTTGGTTACACTAGAAGTATGAAAACATTCTAGTTATTATTCTATATTTTTATTTTCTTTTATAGGAAGGACATGCAAACTCCTAAACCTATTGTAATCATCATTTGGTGGTTAAGAGTACGAATCATATGTGCAACATGAGGAATCACTACTACAGATTGATCTTTCACTATCACCACTTTTACTATCGTAGGGATATAAAAGTCTGTGTGATACTTGCACTGTCGGTTGGACTGATAGGGAGGCCTCGCAAGGAATGAAACCGACAATTGAAAACCATCAATGCGGCGGTGGTAGTGGGGTTGAATTCCACCGTCGTTTGGAACGCCGAGCCGACTGAGATACGCGTTATGGCCGTGACACCTACACAACTGTTTGGTGTACCGACGGTAAATATTGAAGCTGAGTAATTTTTTTGTGACTTAAAGGTGAGTAAATGAGAGTGTGTCATAATGCCCAACTACCAACACCCCCCGCTGGCCCGCTCTACAATTCTTCAAGGTCACTGCCCTCTGAAACCACCCCTCTTCCATGTTCATCCCATTCTTCCATCAGACTAACTAGAACCATGTTGGCGGACAATTTTTTCAAGATTCCCAGCTACGACTCGTCCTTCGACGAGGATGAGGTCCAGCAGCACTCATCGTCTGAGGAGGCCTCCAGGGGGTACATGGATTCTGATTTGATTCCCGATAAGATCTCCGACACCGAGGAGGAGGAGGACGACAACGACGATGAGCCCAAGGATGATGACGTCGACGAATGATGACGGGCCTCCTCCGAAGCGACCAAGGCGACCATCATCCTCTCTCTAAGAGGATTATTTTTAGGTGTATTATCTTTGTGGACAAGCTGAGTACAACCACTCGTTGGAAATGTATCTATATATTTTATAAAGTAATAAACAAAAATTCTAGTCCGACCAATGCTGCTTTCTTTTGCTGTCATCGCTCGTAGTTCTATGTCATGTCGCTGGACCAATGTTTTTGGTGGCCCTGTATGGATCCCTCTAGTTTTTGGCAGTTTTTAAGAATTTGGCTTTGTAAACTGGGTGGGATCCAAACGGGCCAGTTTTTAAGAATTCGAAACTGGTCCAAACAGGGTCGTAACGGACCAGTGCTTGACGGGCCATGCTGCTCACACTTCTGTATGGCCCCTATGCCTGATATAACAATGTTTGGTGCGGTGTCCGTTCTTTCCAATGCTGAAAGCCGGCGGTAAAGAGTATTTCTCCGCCAGATTGTATATCCAGGCAGCGATAAAGGTTGATTTCCACTGGCAGGTCGATGGCATAGGTTGCCTTACTTAAAGTCGTCCACTACCATAGCCATATCCAAAGTGAATCCCATTGTTCCCCTTTCCTCGACCATTGCTAGTTCCCCCAATATCTATTGAAGGTTGTGTCCGAATCGAAGCCAAGTCATCACTTAACTTAACTGAGGTCCGTAAAATTTTCTTCACAGATTCAATTACTTGATTCTTGCTATTGTGCTTTTTACTGTGTTATCGATGTTCTTGCTCAACGGGATCTCTGCGTTCATTTTTTATTTCTTCGTGCTATAAGATCTGCCTTTGCTGTACACAGATGGATCATGGATGGATGTATATGAAGCACAGTTCAGTTGCATTCGTGCTAGGCCTTGAGTTGTTTATCAATGTCGTGAGTGCTTACATTGAGCATAATATTGAGGCTTTTGGTTTCATAAACTAAACATGCAGGGATTGCAAAAATCTTAAGCAGTGGGATAGCATGGAGCTAATCAGGGGTCATCTGCTTTGGAGGGGTTTCATGCCAAACTATATGGTTTGGACGAAACATGGGGAAGAAGGCGAGAACCCACCTGACGAACAAGCTTTAGCGGGTATACAGAATCACAACAGGGATACAAATGTAGGCGAAACATGGCACATGAACGAGAATGAGACGGTCCTAGAGACCGTGAATGAAGGTGTTGAAGAAACCGCCGTTTGTACCCAACCGGCCAACCCTAAAAGGACAGTCTACTTACATCTCACCATCCACCACCGCCGCCGACCTCGACCTCCGAGGGAATAGACCTGATTCTGATCCGACTGACGGCGGTCCTAATGTTCTGAGTCTGCCGATCTGCAATCAGAGTCAGGAACCCCGGGTTTGTAGCTAGGGAAACCCTATATCGCGGTAGTTGTTGCCGCATCGGCGCATCGAGTGCTGCTACCTTACCTCCATATATCGCCGTGTGTACACATGCCCCCTTCTGATGTCCCCTTGACCTCCTGAGCAAGGCACAACTATGCGGGCGGGGTTGTGTTCTATGTAAGATCTGATCCTTGCCCTTGCCCACAACTGTATATATTGAAATAAAAAATGAATCAATTTGTAAATTGTGCGCTCCGTGTATCTTTGGTACTTTAGGATTATTCATCACTATAGTTTGGGGAGGACCCGGGTGTGCATCAGGCAATGAGAGGGAGTCGTGGAAATCATGCCGACAAAGGTCATCGTTGTGGGCAAAGAAAGTCTGTGAGTCCCTTGTATCCATTCAAAAAAATATAACCAACCCTTTGAGAAGGTCAGCAAGGGTTCAATTACAAGGAGGCCTAGGAGCAGTTGATGTTGAGAATGGAGGACGTACCAAGCACCATCGCAGTTCCCGATGCCATGTCGGAAGTTGCCATGTTCATTCAGCTTCGACAATAAGGTTGGACGACAGGGAACCAAGGGACGCACAAGGCAAGCTAGAGGCAGGCCACATGATTTATCTTACTCCCCCTATTCCCCGTGCTGAACAG